CGCGGGGGTTGCGGGTGGGTTTACCGGGGGTACCGGGGCAGGAGCCGGGGGCCGCCTCCCCGCTGGCCTTCGGGGCTCCGGTACCACGGGGTTCGGCCCCAAGAGCCCACCCCCGGGGGGGACGGCGGGGAGCAGGGGCTGGGGCAGGTCCCTCTGCATTTCCCCTCGCGGGGATGGGGCTCCTCACCCCGTCCCCACCCCACTCGTCACTACAGGCAGCAACTCGGATGCCCACAGTCCGAGCCTGGGACATCTGGGGTTCGCCATCGGGAATGTCCTTGTGAGGGGCCACATCCTGCTGCGGGCCGGTTCCCGCTCCCCCCGAACCCCCGCCACTTGGCATCTCTTCCCCTTCAGCAAGGGCGATGCCCACCGTGTCGCGGGCTCGCCCCTCCAAGGTGTCACCCCAAACACATTCAGGACACGCGGTGTCCCCCCATGCGCTCACCATGGCGGGCCCGTCCGGACCACGCCAGGGAACGGCCGAGGCAGACGCGCCACGCGAGCTTCCTTTCAGCCTCGTTAAAGTTTGGCAACGTGTTCGGCAAGCGATGCCAGCACTGGGCACCGGGCACTGGGAGCTCCCGGGCACCCCCAGCTCAGGGGACAATGGCAGCTCTCCTGGAGGAAGGTGAGGGGTAGGCACCACGCTCCTCGGAGCATCCCTGTGCACATCCAGTCTTTCCGGATTTCTTCCTCCACTCACCCGGGCCAAGCGGGAATGTTTTAACGCGCCACAACTCACTTCGGGGTTTCCTTGGCTCATAGCTGGGCACTGGGTCCCTTCACTTCTGCGACACCGCTTTGAGCCGGCCCACAGCTGTGGGGCTGCGCCACGCTCCGAGGGGGGACGGCGGGTTGTTCCCAAGCACCGCGTGGGCCGTGCAAGCAGGCTGTGCCTGCTCTGCCGGGACCAGGGCCGTCCCGCTGGCACCCGAGCCCCCCGCCGCCGGGCGGGCAGGGGAGCCCTCACCACTGACTCACTGACAGCTCTCATCCACTTCCAGTCGAGCACACCGAGCAATTAGTCTTTTTATGAATGACTTTAAAACAAGAGGCTGAATCACATTCTGACACTTCTCTTTAATTTGGTGCCAGGCACTGCTGTGACACTGCCACCCTTCTCCCATCCGGCAGCCACATGGGATATCGCTGGCCTTGCGTGTGGGCAGCGGGAGAGGCAGCTGCAGCTCACAAGCTCTTGCCATCCCCTCAATCCCCACTCCACTCGCTGGTCCCTGCCACAGCTCCCAGCACCACGGCTCCAGATGATGGACGATCCCCACGGACATGGGGGCATCCGTGTGGCACGGGAGGAAAAATGCTGACCCCTGCATCACCGGAGCCCGGTGACCCAGCAAGGGCAAGCTGGAGGGGTGCTGGAGGGGTGCTGGAGGGCGGCTCAGAGCAGCCGCTGTGGGGCTGGGAAAGGGGTGGCAGCTTAGGGCCGAAGGTGCCGGGAACCGGCATGGTGTGGGAGATGGGGCAGAGCTGGGGTGATCCCTGTGCTGCTGCGTAAGCAGGACACAGGCTGGTGAAAGCCACTGCGGCCATCCTTGCGCATCCCACTCCACCGGCTGCTGGGGATGGAGTGGGTCTCCCCCGTGTCCCTTCCCATGGCACCTGCACAAGGCCCCGTGTCTCCGTGTCCCCTGCCTGCCCTTGCCATGCCGTCCCGCAGCCACGGCTCCCTGGCTCCCGAAGCCTCCTGCTCGCTGCGGATCGAGCTGCGCCTCTGAGCTCTCCTGCACTCACCCTATTTATAGCTCGGGGCTGTTTCTAGGTCAGGCATGAGGTGCCAGTGCCCGGGAGACTGCCCGGGGGCCGCGGGGGGCTGCAGGGATGATGTCGTGCACCCCACACATGGCTTGGCTCCCGGTGCCACTGCCCCGGTGCTGGAGGACGGGGCTGTGCTGTGGCCCAGGTACACAGAGGCTGAGCTGTCGGTGAGAGACCAGCCAGGCTCTGACAGGGCTCCATGGGGCTCAGCAGGTCCTGTGGGGCTCTGTGGGGCTCTGTGGGGCTCAGCAGGGTTCTGTGGGGCTCAGCAGGGCTCTGTGGGGCTCCATGGGACTCAGCAGGGCTCCGTGGGGCTCCGTGGCTCATTTTGCAGCTGCCAGGCTGCAGACCAACACATCACCAGTACGTGGGTCACACACAGATTGAATAATACTAACACCAATAGCACCAGTTAATGTTTGCATTGAGCTTGTGGTCTTCAAAGCACTGAGAGAATATTAATAACTAATTAAGATTTGTGAGGTGAAAGGAGCCGGAACAAACGTCTTTATCACCTAGCTCGATCCCAAACCATGCGGTGAGCCCACGGCGCCCCAAGGGACCACCAATGCCCCCGGGTTTTCTGCTCGGACAGGAAATATCTTGGCTCGTGCCACAGGGATGTGCTCAGGCAGGGCGGGTGGTGGGGAAATTACCTGAAAAGCCCAAAATATTTCTGACGAGCCCAATCCCCTCCAGATTCAGCAAGAAGGTCACTCGTCCCTTCACCATCACTCGGTCCCCCCGGGCAGAGTGAGAGCCAAGGGGCCGTGCCCCGCAGAGCCCGGGGGTCAGGGTGCCACGGCCGCCCGCTGCCTGTCACGCTCCGGTGACAGGAG